AACACAGTACACATACATATATTATGTAAACAAAAACTTTTATTTTGGATGCGATTAATCGCGATTAAACATTTGACAGCACTAATATATATATATATATATATATAGCCTGTGTATAATTCATTCCTACAACTTGTTAATGCGCTCCTACGACTTATTAATTTGTGGCCACTGTCCATGTTTCATTAATTTGTTCCCTAGAAAACCCATAACATTTTAATCAACTGACAGCTCTAATATATATATATATATTAGAGCTGTCAAACGATTAATCGATATTAATCACATACAAAATAAAAGTTTTTGTTTACATAATATATGTATGTGTACTGTGTTTATTTATTATGTATATATAAATACACACACACACACACACACACATGCAGTATATATTTAGAAAATATTTACATGTATATAGTCATATTCATATAATTTATATTATATAGAAATATATTTACAAAAACTTTTATTTTGGATGCGATTAATCGCGATTAAACATTTGACAGCACTAATATATATATATATATATAGCCTGTGTATAATTCATTCCTACAACTTGTTAATGCGCTCCTACGACTTATTAATTTGTGGCCACTGTCCATGTTTCATTAATTTGTTCCCTAGAAAACCCATGATTTAACTAAAATGAGGGAACGAATTCTTAATTAATGGTCACTAAATCTTTTATTTCCCACCTGCACAGTAAGAGAGGCGATTTTAACAGTGATTAAAAGTGAATAACAATAAAAGAAACCTGCAAAATTAGAGGGTGAGACGGTGAGGATTTGGGAAAAGAAGCTATAAATATGATTAAATTTCTAGAAATTCGTGACTCACTGGCAAAACAGAACACAAAGCCGCGTCTGACTTTAAATGTATCGAACGATGTCACAATGTAACATTTGCCTGCTAACCCAATATTTCTCTTATAAACAAAGCTTTGTACCTCACTTGTGTCATAATACTCACTTTAAAATGCTTCATGTGAGCAGCAGTGTGTTTTGCCGCAGCACCGCTGGTGGTTGGAAGCGGCATTTATTGATCGTTAATTTAAACGATGATCGATCATGGAAATTAACGAAAATTGACATCCCTACTCTCAACAGCTTCTGCTCTTCCTCTTTAGGATGTTTTGTACACGGTCTGTAATCCGATCGGAAACGTGCTGCGCATCGTGATCTTCAAGAGGAACGGGATCCAGGCCATGGTGGAATATCCTTCTGATGATGTGCTCACACTCACTCACACTTCCAGCCGATTTTCAATCAGAACTTAACCATAAACCGTTAAACACAGACCAGTTATGATTTCAGAGGCTGTTAATCGATGGTTTATGCTTCTCCCAAAGCCATCAGGCAGCATTATTTCAACTTATTTTCTAAATAATTGTGTTTAATAGCAGAACTCATGGTTAAAAACTACATTTCCCATAATTCTGCAGAGACTATTCACCTATCAGAGAACTGAAACAGGTTAATTCTTTAGCTCCGCCCACTCCAATGAAGCACTGCAAATAATTAGTAAATGCTCTCAAAATACTTAAATATTTGCATGAATAAAATATTAAATAAATATTTTGCAAAATAGTTTGACGCGTGTGTGTGTGTGTATAATCAACAGCTATTCAAATAAGTTAATTTAAACACACTATTTAAAATGTATTTAAAGAAACAGAAAAAAAATAAAAATACAATTTATTTAAATATAGTGAAAGGACATGCAAAAATGAAATTTATTTAAAAATATTATGAATATAATATTGACTTTTTTATATTATATTTATTAATATAAAATATAATTACTAAATTAGTAATTTATTTGATAAATTGATAAAATGAATAAATATGAGATAATTATTTGAAAATTAAAACTGTAACATAAAGAGATTCATTTAGATGACAGCTGCTTGATTCTGTTATCCCATCAAGGTATTTTTCACTAATAAAGAAATTCTTAAAAATATGAATAAAAAAAGAAGTAAACGCTGAAATGGAAAGTGCACAAAAATGGTAAGTTTGTGCACACTGGGAATTATGTTTTTTCAAATAAAGACAGGTTAGCATTAATTTTACATTTAGTAATTATAACATGAATATTTCTATTTTCTATATTTCTATTTTTGGAAATTTGGAAACTTTTTTTATGTAAAAATTTCATAAACTACCCTCTAAAAACATAATATAAAGATCTGAAAATGCATTTGTTTTTTAAATCTTAAATTTTAAAAGGAAATGCTGCACATGTGGAGTCTGATGATGAGCATGATATTTACATCCCTAAACCTCACATGACCGTCATAGCCTTTCATTAAGACGCTAGGTTCGTTTGTATCAGCTTGTGCTTTTGGATGTACGTTCGCTCCCCGGACACACATAACACACAGTCATTAAATGTGCATGTATCCCAGCAACACACAGCAACGAGACGAGCTTCAGCAGCCCGTTTACATGCTGTTTACTCCCAGCTGAAGCTGTGTTGTTGTTGTGTTGTAAGTGTGTGTTCTGTGGAGTTTTTCCTTGACAGCCGTCACGTTCGAATCCATCCAGAACGCTCAGAAGGCCAAAGCTGCCCTCAACGGGGCCGACATCTATGCCGGCTGCTGCACGCTGAAAATCGAATACGCTCGGGTAAATGTGCAGCGTTCACACTCACACTCGCACTCACACTCACTCACACACACACACACACACACTCACACTCACACACAGCGCTGGATCTAACACACATGCAGTGCCGTTGTGCTCTCTCATTCTAGCCCTCACGCCTCAACGTCATCAGAAATGACAACGACAGCTGGGACTACACCAAACCTTTCCTGCTGCGCCGAGGTACGTGTGTGTGTGTGTGTGTGTGTGTGTGTGTGTGTGTGTGTGTGTGTGTGTGTGTGTGTGTGTGTGTGTGTGTGTGTGTGTGTGTTTATCACTCCTTGCTCTTTAGGAGACCCTCAGGAGTTCTCAGTTAGGTTTAATGATCAGCTTTGTCTGATGTTGTCAAATGCTTCAGAAGAACTGAAAACAGACCCAAATGAGTCACAGTCAGAGTTCAGATCAGCACTTCTCAAACTTTGACTCCAGTTAACACTTTGACTTAAGCTGCCTGTTTTAACACTGTTTAATGTACTAAAACTAATTAAATTAAAAAATTGTATTATATAAATTGTGTTAATTTATATTTGCATTAATTAATTTAATTTATTGAATAATTTTTTATTTAAATTTAAAATAATAATTTTGTTATTATTGTAATTATTAATCATCAGTTTGTGATTTTTGTAAATTCAAAGTTCATGGGTTCAGGTTTGTTACTCACAAATGGCAATTTCTCAGCAATTTCTAGTGAAATCTTTTAGAGCTTGACATAAATGTCAGCTAGATAAATACATATTCTTTATAAATATGTCAATGCATTTTTAAGGTTTTATTATTTTCATGACTTTTAAAATATTTTATTAATATATATATATATGATGACCGTCACATTTGAATCAATCCAGATAAAAGAACTGAATGTTCTTTAGGGTTCAGTAACTATTTTGGTTGTATATTACACCTTTGACTTCTCCACTGTATTTGTTATAGAAATGTCCGTGTAATTTTAAGATTTTATTCATTTCCATGACTTTTTAAATATTTTTTGAGTATCTATTTAAAAAATATATATATATATATAAGATATATAATCTTAAGATATAAAATACATTATACTATTTAAATAAATTTCAATAAATTTTTTTTCTAAAATAAGTTTAGATATATTGTACAATGTATATATATATATATATATATATATATAAAGAAAAATTTTATTATTTTGTCTTGAATTTTGAGTTTATTTTAAAGTTTTAATTAATTTTAATGCTTATTTTATCTTATGTTAAATCATGTCTTGTAAGTGTGCCGAGGCCCCTGATGATCTAGATCTCTATAATTAGTGTGAACAGCAACCCAGATCATTTGAGGAGAAACGTTGGACTTCATATTGAAGTCTATGACATGATTGCAGATTTTGCAGTGGTTTGAGACATTGATGAGATCTCGTGAGATATGTGTGAGATTGCTGTGGTCCTTTAGTAGAGACACGTCTTGCTCATTGCTGTCTATGAGAGATGACAGATCTGATGTGTGTTTTGTGTTCTTCTGGTTAGTTCATGTGATTCTGATTGCAGGTTTTCAGCGGTGACCTCTGATGTCTGTTTCATGCTGAGGAATCTCTTGTGAAGCTGCAGACCTTTGTAATAATTCATCAGGTTGTTTTACTGTGTCAGATGTAGGTGTATGAAGCTTCAGTGTGATTTACCTGCAGAGATTCGTCCTGATTCACCCTGAGCGTGAGCTCAAACTCCCACATCATGTGAGTGCGCTGGTTTCACCTGTGCGCAGCAGTTGCTAGGGGCATCTGGACGGTTGCTAGGGTGTTGTGTGAGGTTCTTACTGTGTCTTTCAGGAGCAGACGGCCCATAATGCAGTGTGGTGCATTATGTGGCTTTAGTTAAGCGTGTGCGTGTGTTAGCCGTACAGCAGCTCAAAGCGGTGTAAACAGTGTTATCAGCAGCGTTCAGCCATCGATCGGCTCCAGACTGAAGGGCTGCTCAGCGTTTCTCCGTGCTGCTTCGTTATTGACTGAAGATAAGAGCGTGAGCTGGACTCACACGCTAATGTGAAGACACTCATCAGACATTCACAGTATCTCTGTGTTAAACATCTCTTCCTCTCTTCATTCTCTCTGTCTGTCTCGCTTTATTTCGGCGCTCTCAGCATTCTGTACTTTCCGTCAGCACTTTGTAGAATTAGAAATGTGATGGCTTAAGCTCAGATCTCCTTCAGACACACGGAGCCTGATCGATCCCAGCTGTAGGTTTAGACCAAATTATTAATATTAACATGACTTTTTTTTAAGGTGAGACACTATAGGACATTGTTTTTGCATTGATCAAATTTAGTAGAATAATATGTCTTCTTTTAGACTAGTTACTAGTAGAAAGAAAACATACAAAATACACATTTAAGTGTTTATTTTATTGAGTCTTATCTATTTGCGTCTATAGATTTCAATTACAATACATATACAGAAATGTGTATTTTGGATGTTATCTAAAAATTGACCAGAACATTAAAAAAACACTGTTTTTTTTTACACTTTATCTATTTGCGTCTGTATATTTCAATACCAATCCATATCTTTAAAGAGTTTTTTCTCCACTTCAGCAGCACTTACATACACCAAACTTTACAGTTTTATTCCTCTCTATATTCTGAAGGTTTCTACTGAGGGGTTTGTGAATATATCATGCACACTGATTTATATAACGTTTTTTCTTAAAAACATGGTGAAAATGTGTTTTTTTCTGTCTGTTGACAGTATTTTCTGATTTATGGAGTGATAAAATGAGAAATCCAAAATCCCTTCAGTAAAATCCTTCAGAATATAGATAAGAATAAAACTGTTAAGTTTGGTGTATGTGAGTGCTGCTGAAGTGGAGGAAAAACTCTTTAAAGATATGGATTGGAATTGAAATATACAGACGCAAATAGATAAAATGTAAAACTGTTTAAAAAATATGGATTATCTTAGTTAAAGATACTATTATTTAAAGATATGTATTATTAAGTGGACAGAAAACACCCAAAATACACATTCAAATGTTTATTGTTGTACTACATATATTGTTCAGATTTAAATTCAGAAAATCTATGCAATTTAGTGCATATGTAATTAACTAATAGTATGCATATTCAGACATAACATTTTAGAAAACTTGTAATACAAAACAGTTGTCTCGATGTACTGTGATTAATCAGCTGAAGTATGGTGATATACTGTATGTTAGTTTACATTTTTACCATATTCACCTGTAGTGTCTTGCCTTATCTTCTAGTTGCGAGAATCTACAGATATGTTTCACATTTTACTGTCTGACATGAAAATTATTTTTAATTACTAAAATTATACAGCAATTTCAGTGTTGACATAATATTGAATTGAATGTGAAAATAAACTATTATAAATAAATTGGCTAAAAACAAACTCTATTTACAAATTCTATTTACCAGAAATTTACATTTTTCTATTTAACCCTTTTTTTGTTTTTGCTAAAATGTCCCATATTTTTATTTACAAAAACTGCAAGCCACATAAAAACTGTTTTTCTGCTTCATCTAAAGAGGATTATGTTTGAATCCAGCCTAATTTACAAAGCCTTTTACATCTGCCCGTCTCTCTCTCTCTGTCTCTGCGTGTCTGTCTTGCAGTATGTACAGGAGTGTTTCTGTGACATTTAATGACTTTTATTTATTTTTTATATTATTTTATTTTCCTCTTTCACCTTTACGAGGTGCCCAGCAGCTCTTGTGTTTCGTTTGGTTCAGTGACATGTGAAAGTGAATGTAATATTGCAAATGGTTTCTAGTCGACTGCTTTTATTTTCAGATAGAACATGTTCATGTAAAATCAGAAAAAGAAATTGCATTTACTTTTATGCATTTGGCAGATGCTTTTATCCAAACTGATCTGTCTGTCTCACAGTATGTACAGGAGTGTTTCTGTGACATTTAATGACTTTTATTTTCCTCTTTCACCTTTACGAGGTGCCCAGCAGCTCTTGTGTTTCGTTTGGTTCAGTGACATGTGAAAGTGAATGTAATATTGCAAATGGTTTCTAGTCGACTGCTTTTATTTTCAGATAGAACATGTTCATCTAAAATCAGAAAAAGAAATTGCATTTACTTTTATGCATTTGGCAGATGCTTTTATCCAAACTGATTTGCATTGCATTGAATCATTTCATGCATTTTCTGGGAATTGAACCCATTAGCTTGGTGTTGTGATCACAGTGCTTTACTGTTTGAGCTACAGAAATGCAGAACTAAATTTTACATACAGTACAGTAATGGTCTTAAAAAATGTTTGTGTTTTGACATTATTTTCATGCCAGTGAAGCACATTTAATCTCAAATTCTCAAAAGGAAAAAAATATTAAAATTATATTTAATTATCTAAAATTAATTTTTTTGGTTAGTATTTAGTAATCTGGCTCATTGTCAAAAATAATACAACTAAATTGTACATACTACAAAGATTATCGGAGTACATTTTACAAACAAAAAATACTATTTGAGTTTTCTATAAAAAAACATTTTTTTTTAAGTTTTTTTTTTAATGTAAAAAATATAAAACGTTTTTAAAAAAAATAAATTCACTGTCCTACTTACCATTTCTTTGTAATTTACTACTTCAATTTCTGAGTAAAAATAGTTTCTGCACCAGTTTTTCTCAGTGTTGTATTTTTTATTTTTGTGGATTCAAAGAAAGAAAATTTCTATATATACTTTATGCACTGTATAATGTGTGTGTGTGTATATATATATATATATATATATATATACATATATATAAATACAGTATATATGTGTGTGTGTGTGTGTGTAATTATATACATTATATATAAATTAAATTATATATTAAAATATTGAAACAAATCGTATTGTGATTGAAAATGAGAATTAAAAAGCCATCTCTAGTAAATCATCCAGACACGCATCGAGTCGTGTAAAGTGAGGAATGTTAATGATATTAAACAGATCTTCATTGTCTTCAGGATCATGTGTGCGTCTGTTGTGTTCTCTTAGTGAATGTGTAAATGTGGGTGTATTGACCGTCGGTGTGTGTGTGTGTTGAATGTGTTTTACTGTAGAGCGTGGTAAAGGCCGACAGCGGCAGGCCATCCTGGGAGAACATCCGTCCTCGTACAGCGATAACGGATACGGTCAGTCTCTCATTCAAGCACCACTGACACACGAGCCAGTCAAACTCTAAATATAAAACAACAGCCAAAGCAGTGTGTTCTAATAGAACGTTTGAAAGGTTTATTAATGTGTGTGTGTGTGTGTGTGTGTGTGTGTGTGCAGGCTCTCACTGCCCCCTGCTGCCGCTGCCCGGTAATAACCGCTTCAAGCGCGGCTCTCATGATGTCCCGGAGGTGGTGGCGTATCCGCTGCCCCAGACATCCTCATACATGAGCCACACCTCCAGCTCCGTCGCCATGGTGAGCGGCCTGCATCCCGCCAAGATGAACTGCACTCGCATCTTCAACCTCTTCTGTCTCTACGGAAACATTGAGAAGGTAAAGCATTCTTGAGATAACAGTGTTGATTTGAGCAGTGTTGTGGAGTAACTAGTTACATGTAACTAGATTACGTAAAATTTAATTACAAAAAAATTTAATTGTAACCAGTTACAGTTACTGAGAAAAAATGTGTAATTAAATGACAGTTACTTATGAAAATGTTAACGATCACAAAGTGGGTAACATCTGAATTTTTTTTACCCACACATTTACAGATTTAATTGATTTCTTTCATAACTTGCATCGACTGCTCTAAAATATGAGACAGCAATGTTTCAGGAGTTTAGGACACATGCTTATTCCATAACTGTTTTATTTCATATCTGGGTTTATGTATATGCTTTATTTAGTAAGATATAGATATTCCAAGACATTGTTAGATGCCAGTGTTTACTGTCACAGCTATGCAAAGATTTGATTTCAAAAAGAGTATCATATCTCTTAAACGATTTCTAATCAGTGTTGAGTTCTACTCATAGACTGTATAAAATCTGTAATGTTAACTCTGCCTGCTTTACATGATTGAAAATGATTAACAGTTGAAGACATTAGAAATTTAGGAAAGAAAAAAAATGTAATCAGCTACATTACTTTAATAAAGTAATTGAAATCGTTACACTACTTATTACATTTTAAATAGAGTAACTTATAATCTGTAACCTGTTACATTTCCATAATAACCATCCTAACACTGGATTTTAGTAATGTTTTGGATTTTATTTATTTATTTATTTTAGTTTTAGTAACTTAGTCATTTGATGTTTATACAGTTTTTTATAAAATATATTATATTTAATATAAATAATAAATAATATATTATTATATATATTATACATATATTGTTTTAGGTGTTATTTTTTGTTATTTTAGTACATCAAGTAATGTATGAAAATGACTAAACATTGTTTAGTTATTTTAGAATGTTAAACTAAATCAAAATGATAAATGTTTCCTTGGCAACTAGCTGAAATAAAATAATTTCATGTTTTTAAAAATATTTTATATGTTTAGATTTTATTTCAATTATTATTATCAAAAAAAAAAATGATTTGAGTTTTAGTTGACTATGAAACCTGTGTTTGTACTATACAGTCAAACCTAAATTTATTCAGACACTTCAACATTTCTCACATTATATCACAGTTTATTGGCTGTAGTTTAGAAAATGGTAATAAAATATGAGAAGAGCTCCGAGTTAAACTGTGTCAGAACAAACTCCTCTTGATAATGTCAGATAACTTTGATAGAAAGGTCTGAAATTAATTCGGCTGAATAGCTATCAGATGTTAAATTTAAGAACACAATTAGATCAAACCAATTTAGCTCAACTAATTACCAAGCAGTGCTTCATTCTGTTCAGTCTGTGGTGTAAAAAGCTTGCATTAGCAATTAAAGAGAAAACACTTGAGCAAAACATGCTCAGCTCAAAGTGTCTGGATCATTTTTGCTCCCAAATTTCACTGTTAGTCCGCTGTATGAAGACTTTTGGGGTGTAATACGTCACAGTTTACTTTATTTTGCTCTCCTCACTTACATAAATGAACTATAGTGTCCTGCACCCGCTAAGTAAAAAAACATCAAAAATGATATCTGCTATCTGAATAATTTTTGGTTTGACTGTATATTGGGACAAATTTGTACCCAGAAGTCAAGTCAAGTCACGTTTATTTATATAGCGCTTTTAACAATACAGATTGTGTCAAAGCAACTGAACAGCATTAATTAGGAAAATAGTGTCAATAATGCAAAATGACAATAGTAAACACTAATTTTTCAGTTAAAGACAGTTCATCATTGAATTCAGTGATGTCAACATCCAGCTCAGTTATTTTATTATTTCCGTGGTGGTACTATGGTACAGTGATGATAACAGATAGTGATACTGTGGTATATCATATGCGTTTTCTTTTCCTGTATGAATTATGTAATGTACAGAATATTTTAATCCTTAAAAAGAAATTTTAAAAATGTAAAACAAACTGTAAAAACATGGCAGTACTATGTATTGGATATATTGGGACAAATTTGTACCCAGAAGTCAAGTCAAGTCAAGTCACCTTTATTTATATAGCGCTTTTAACAATACAGATTGTGTCAAAGCAACTGAACAGCATTAATTAGGAAAATAGTGTCAATAATGCAAAATGACAATAGTAAACACTAATTTTTCAGTTAAAGACAGTTCATCATTGAATTCAGTGATGTCAACATCCAGCTCAGTTTAAATAATATCTTTGCAATCATGTCAACGATATCGATAGAAGTGAGTTTAATCTGACAAAGCCTTTTTACTGATGTCCTCATTTGTAAAAACATTGTAAAAATAAAGTAAATAGAGCAAAGATGCAGAATGTATTCTGTTAGGGTTATGGTTATAGTATTTAGCTCTGTGTGTGTGTGTGTGTGTGTGTGTGTGTGTGTGTGTGTGTGTG